GAGTGGGATTTGAACCCCGGCCATCAAGATCTGTAGGCAGACACGCTACCGACAGAGCCATCATGTGGCTCAATGTGTATATATATTGGCACTCTTAGCGTGGCATATATAGATATAGTGTGCCATGCCGGTGGCATGATGCCGCTTGCCGCATCACGGTATTCACTCCGTGCATTAGGTTGGAGGGGATAAAAAAAACGACTGCAGCGCTGTAGGTGAGCAAAGTTGGCGAACCCGTACCCCCATGAACCGTACCGTAAGCGTTGTCTTATGTGAGAAAATATATTATTTAATTTAAAGTAATTAGTTGAGAAATCGAAGGCGGAAAAAAAATGTTATTTAGCCAAACCGGGTCTATAATACGGATAAATAATTTTGCTAGGCACTTCAAATCGCCCGAAATTTTAAATAATGGGTTATTAAATATCATCTGTCATATAGTACACAACACACATACTTATCTGTAATGTTGTATACGTGAGAGCAAGAACTCCAACTACTCCAAGCAGTCGACGTAGGCTGCCGCTATAGCTGTATAATCTGAATCAGTGTTTACGTTCACAAAGTAACGAAATGCGTACGAGACAGTGTTGCGTTGTTAATTGCAACAAGAAAGAAAAGCAGGGGGTGGTGCTGTTTAAATTCCCAAGTAGACCCCATGAAACAAAACAGAAGGAGCTGTGGATTAGGGCAGTTAGGAGACAAAAGTTCGTACCTAACCTACGGAATTTTTNATTTATCCCCCAAAAACATCTGCACAGTACCTCCATCATTTAAGAACTTCTTAAATTTCTCTGAAATAAAAGTTCTACCATCATCTGAGAAAAAAGAATTTTGGATTTCCAAACTGTGCAAAAATCTCGTTGGATCTTTTTATAACCATGTCCACTAGGAAATCATTCACTATATGTCTTTTGGGCTTTTTAGAATACGCATCGATTATAACGAAGGAACATTATACCTATAAATAGGCCCGAAAAATCAACATGTACCCTCTCAAACGGTTCTTTCACTGGCTTCCAACCGTATGTAGGTAACTTTACAGGATTATTTTTTACAGGCAAACAATTCTTACACAAGTTTAACATGTTCTCTATATCTCTATTAATTCTAGGCTACCAGCAATAGCCTGACGCCAAACTCTCCATTTTAACAATGCCAAAGTTTCCCATATGCAATTTATCCGTGATGTGTTTTCGCAACGTTTCTGAAATTACGACTTGATGTGAATGAATTGAAACATCGTTATCAATTGAAAACTCTCTTGGATCTATATTCCATATCATTTTATTTTTTAAAACCTGACCAGCTGACAGATTATTCCTAATAAATCTTATTTTTGCATCATTGCATTCTAATTTACGCAGGCTAAAAAATCGATATTCAATAATCGAATATCTCGGTATAGAAAACATCAATTACATTTCAAGTAGTATTACATACATTCAACGGCAATCTAAAAAGACAGTCAGCATTACAACTTTCTTCAGGTCGTCGGTATTTGATAGTATAGTTAAAACCGCGTAAAAATAAAGTGTAGTGCTGTATATGCATAGGACTATAAGTTGGTAATGACTAATCTGGGTTACAAATTTGAACAAAAGTTTGATTATCACATAAAAGTGTGTATCTATGACCGTCAAAATATTGATGAAGTTTTTTTTATAGCAAATATTATGTCATATGCTTCCCGATCAGTCTGACTGTATTTCTGTCTCACTTGACCCAATTTTTGCGAAACAAAGCAAATAGGTATCTCTGTACCATCCTTATACATCTGTGATAATACAGCACCTACCTAAACTGGGAAAGCATCAGTTGCTAATATAAGAGGTCATTTTGAATCAAAGAAAGCCAAACATTTATTTTCTGTAAATGAGCTTTTAACGGAGTTGAAAGCATGTTGACATTCTTTAGACCACAAAAATTTAACTTTTTTACTCAAAAGCTGATGCAATGGATTGAACACTGTAAAAATATCTCGCATGAAACGATTAAAATTTGTAATCATTCTAATAAATGAATGCAACTCACTGACATTTGTAGGTGTCCGCATATTGTTATCTGCTTCCAATTTTGCAGCATCTTTATAAAAACCATCTGAATCAAAAATAAATTTATAGTACGTTATCTTGTTGTCAAAGAAAATATAACTTTTTCAATGGATTTTAATGAAATCGAAGGCGGAAAAAAAATGTTATTTAGCCAAACCGGGTCTATAATACGGATAAATAATTTTGCTAGGCACTTCAAATGGCCCGAAATTTTAAATAATGGGTTATTAAATATCATCTATCATACAGTACACAACACACACACTTATCTGTAATGTTGTATACGTGTGAGCAAGAACTCCAAGCAGTCGACATAGGCTGCCGCTAGCTGTATGAGGCTCTTTTACTTTTACCAATTTACCGTCAAGCTTGAATCAGATGGCGCCAGAGCACGTCGCGGCTGTTATGGGTTATGGCCGTCGCACTTACACACCGTCAAATTTACAGTTGTGTATTGTGTTCGTGAGCCTATCTGTGTGATGAGCAAAGCAGAAGACATAACCTTTGTAAATGATTGCTGTTGTTTGCAGACAATTTTTGTTTGCATTTACGTTTAAAGATAGTAGGAAAAATGAAGTGCAGTGTAATATCCTGCGATAAGAAAGTGAAATTTAAATTTCCTTCTGATAGTGTGATAAAAAAAAAGTGGCTCGAAGCAATTGGGAGACCAACATTTTTGCCGCTCCCAAGTCATGGCTTATGCCTCGACCACTTTGCCTCCACGAGTTCTGCTTTTCTTCCACTGACTCTTGCTCCTTTCCCTTTTAAAAGCTTTTTCAATTCTGAAACTTTTAAGCTCCCATAATATTCTTTCTTGTCTTCCTTATTCATTTCAAAATTTCAAATATTGCGCTTTACCACTACACTTTACTTTCCTATGTACATACAATACTGAAAAGTAATGTTGTGTGAGTGAGACGGCCATGACAGCCGCGACGTGCCCTGGCGCCATCTGATTCAAGCTTGA